CTCATTTTGGTAGTCTTGCGATCATTCCAACGCAAGAGTCCGCATAAAGCCACGCGATTTCCCTACTTATAGCCTCGCTACTTTTTAATACTTTTTGTCTTCTTTATACGCCTCTTGATACAGAGGTTGCGCATCAATGTTGCGGAGTCCGTGTAAGCTGTGGTGGCCACCCCGGAGACTGTGTTTCTACATTGGGAACAGTGAGCGATGACGCTTACAGACAGAACGCCTCGAGTTTCTTACAATTACCCCTCCCCCTTCTCCCCCCCCCATCCGACGTTTCATTCCTTCGTCTCCTAAACCCCCAGAACTTCTCTGAACAACCTCGCGTTCGGTTCACATTAGGCATTTTATTAACAGCGTTACACTAGCTAACTGTTTGCAGAGCGCTGTATAGCCACTATTACCCATCTATATCCAAGATGAGCCCGGATATTAGGAGCACCCGTGGCCGAAAAGAAGCCGTGTTGACCCCGAACGTGCTGCGAGCGCAGATCTTGCCGCGCAGTTACCGCGCTACGGCCGCCATCGCGACCCTCTCGCGGGAACTCGTCCTACTGAAGTAGTCAGCCGCTGGCCCAGCCTATGGATCTCGTCGCGCCCGCGCGAATCTTTCTCTACGCCCCGGCCGCACGCATCCATAGCCTGCCAGCGAACAGTCCACAAGTTATGGTGGGCCCACAGCCGGGCAACATTTCGGCCGTGGAACCGTGTTCCCTTGGTGTATTAACAACATAATGCTCCTTGTTCGTATACATCGAGCCTTAGCTGGGGGTCTCACGCGAAAACTCACCGAAAGACTCATCGAAATCTTCGCGTTCGCTGAACCCATTGGCCCGTCAGTCTAATGGAATCGCTGCAAGGCCAAAGGCATCTCGACGGCGACTCCACTCCAACTCCGCCTCTCCTCGATTACCCTCGAGTGACTAAGCAAGCCGAGAGGTGGATACCGATGCCAAGTCTATGGGCTCATAGGCGGCCGCACAGGCGGCGCTATGCGCTTCTGCAACTCCCGTAGCCGAGGCCTCGGCCATTGAACGTTGCAAGAACGTTGCAGTGTTGGCGGCTGCGACAGCGCCATGTTCCATACTTGGCAAGTTCTGCGATCCCGCGCAGAGAATTTCGCTCAGTCTTTTCTGTGATTTCGCATGACACCAGCTCGGTTACGAACAAGATCCATTAGGTATTTTCTACCACAATGAATACTGTTGGTCAATGAAGAAACACAAGATGGAAGCTTTGAATGTGTGTTCGTCGCTGTCGAATTCAAATTGAAGTGACGTCCGAGCGAATTTTGGCAGCACCGCTTTCCTACCTGCTATACTATTTCAGTGTAAAGCGTTGCAACAGTCGCCGCCGCGAAGAGCTAATGGCACCCGGCAGCGTACGTTGGACGTAGGATTCGAACGCATTTACACATTGCAAACACTCGGCAAAATAGTGCAAAGACAGTAGGCCTAGCGATAGAAACAGGAAGCAGTTGGTAGTCAAATAGATCGTCTTTCAGTTAGCGATTATATTTTATTATATTTAGTGGAGTACTAGTAACAGCTAACAGGAGCTTGTCATTACTAATAGTTACTAACTTACTAAATGTACCCGGTAACTACCAGTTGGTCATTAGTCAGCTCCTAGGTAGTCAACTACTTAGCAACTAGTCCTATATCAGTATACTGTAGTAGTCCTGGTACTTTAGTAGTACTTAGTAGTCCCTTACTAGTACTTATTGTAACATGTACTTTGTAGTAATAGAAGTATTCGTAGGTGTGGAGTACCAATCGATGCTCGCTTGGGATCGTGTTAGATATCCATATCATATATTAGCCTAGTGCCTGTAGAATCAACGAGTACGAGGCACATGTTTTATTGGGACTCATGTTCTTCTACTCCTTGGGCCCGTCCGACTGTCGGCGCACTCGTCGGCATTTCACGTGAATTCTTACGGAACACCTTACCCGTTCATAGCTCGACACCGTTCACAGTTTAGGCAGACTTCCGCCACCACTGTTGACATCTTATGTTGACTGAGGAGTGGGGGGGTAACTATGCAGCAGATACAATAGCAGATTAGAGTGACAATTGAAACTAACGTAATTATTACAGATGAGCGACGACACGATTCGTATATATCGTATGCCTCAACTCACGCCAGTCAACGCTACGCAATACACGCATATATTCTACAATGTGAACAAAAAACTCCCGTTATTACAGCACCACGGAGACGGGATACTTGAGAAGCGTTGCCGAAAGAAGGTGTTGACCCGAAGTGCTAAGCGCAGATCTTGCGCGCAGTTCCGCGGCAAGGCGCACGCGACCGCGGGAACGTCCTACGACAGTATGCAGCGCTGGCAGCTATGGATGCGTGCGCCGGCGTAAGCATTCGGCGCACGGATCCATAGCTGCCAGCGCTGCATACTGTCGTAGGACGTTCCCGCGGTCGCGTGCGCCTTGCCGCGGAACTGCGCGCAAGATCTGCGCTCAGCACTTCGGGTCAACACCTTCTTTCGGCAACGCTTCTCTAGTATCCCGTCTCATCTGGATATAGATGGTAATAGATGGCTATACAGCTCTACAAAGTTAGCTAAGTGTACGCTGTTTTAATAAAATGCTATATAACCCAACCAGTTTTCAACCAGTTCTGGCTGCACAAGAAATGAAACCGTGGTAATTAGAAACTCGACGTTCTGCTGTAAGCGTCATCGCTATTTCCAAATAGAACAGTCTCCGCGTGGTGGCACCACCAGCTTACACGGACTCCGAAAGTTGAGCGCAACCTTGTATCAAGAGCGTATAAAGAAGACAAAAAGTATTAAAAAGTAGGCCTATAAGTATCCTTCTTTATACACTCTTGCTTGTATCAAAGTACCAAAATAGTGACGGCATTGGAGATATCCAATTTAAACAATTATATTATAAACAATAAACAATCCAAATTCCCAAGTAGTTATTATAAATTCATGCGGTTATTATAAATTAATATATTTACTTCATGACTCTTTATCGTCTAATAATCACGATATAAATCACGTTTATAAATCACGGATGAAAATATCGGATATGATGATATGAACTTGCACGAAATTTCGCGAACCTGTAATAATGTTTAGGCGCTGTCTGCTTCGCATTGATTCTGTCATACATTGCATTGTAGCAGTGGCGCCCGCAGATAGTAGCACTAGAAGCACAGTGCTTCCAGTAAATTTTGGGTTAAAAAATGTTGTTCCTAAATCTCTCTCGCAAGACTCACCAAATTGCATCTCCAGAAGTCTACCATTCAAAAATTTTCAGGGGGGAGGGGCATGCCCCCAGACCCCCCTAGCATGCAGCGCGCCTACAGCGCTTGCTTTTTATTATCACTGAGGATTTTATATCCTTCTGTGCTTCTACTTTCTTAAGACCTGTGGGCGCCAGTGATTGTAGAATAGCAAAGGAAGTAATTATAGTTATACTTCCTTAATTATCCCTTATTATTAAATATTATAATTATTCCTTATTATTCCTTACCGACTCAGTCAGTTTAGGCGGATCAGGCCGGCATAAATGGCGCAGTAAAGGCAAGGCGTATATATGTATAGGCGTATATATAAAGAAACCTTCGTCATACAGCCGCAGGTGATAAAGAAGAGCGGCGTACACAACGAAGTTTGCCGAATA